TGCTGCTGCTGCTGCTGCTGCTGCTGCTGCTGCTGCTGCTGCTGCTCTGTTTGATTTTGCTGTTTTGTTGTGCAGTCTCTGCGAGTAAAGAAGGGCAGGGTTCGCGCTAAGCCAAAGTCAGCAATATATAATGCAGAAAGCAGAGGCGGTGGTGCTGGAGACTCTACAGATAAGCCGTCTGTCTCTCCTTCATCTGTCTCTCCTTCTTCTTCATCTTCATCTTCATCTTCTGCTTCTTCTTGTTCTGCTTCTGCTGCTGCTTTGGCTTCTGCTGCTGCTGCTGCTGCTGCTGCTGCTTTGGCTGCTGCTGCTGCTGCTTCTCGCGCTTCAGATAACTCTTCCTCAGTCTCACGCTGCTGTTGCTCTTGCTGCTGCTCTTGCTGCTGCTGCTGCTGCTGCTGCTGCTGCTGCTGTTTGTTTGTTGGTGTTTGTCGTTGCAAGTTGAGGGAATATTTGCGTGCAGTTTCTGCTGCTTGTTTGGGGTGTATAGGCAGCTCCTGCCACTGCAGCAAAATATTATCGGGTTTAATATCTCTATGAGTTATTCGCCTTTCATGTATTGCTGCAACTCCTCGCAGCAAAGCAAAAGCAATACGTAAACAAACTCCTAAAGGTAAGCCACAGAGAGGCATGCAGCGTATGCAGGGGCAGCAGCAAAACACAGACGTACACATATCCGCGTCTCCCTCCGGCTGCTGCTGCTGCTGCTGCTGCTGCTGCTGCTGCTGCTGCTTCTTGTTTGGGGTGTCTGTTAGTAGATTTTCTCGGCAGAAGCAATTCGATGGGCTGAAGGAGTGCTGAGTTGCTGCTGCATTCTGACTGTTGGCAGTACTTCCTGTGCTGCAGTTGCTGCTGTTGCTGCTGCAGCAACTACTACTACTATTACTATTATTACTACTGCTGCTGCTGCTGCTGCTGCTGAGGCGTATATACTCCGCCCAAGAGCTGCAGCGTCGTAGAAACTCTGCTAGGGTGCCCCCTAAAACTAAAGGAAACCCCAGATAGCATCTGTGGCTGCCGATATAAACTTTTTGTAAGCTGATAATATTATATTTATTTTTTAATGCTTTAAGAACAGCTACTTCTCGCTGTAGAACAGAAGGCAAGGGGCCCCCTCCTCTTGCTGCTGCTGCTGCTTCTGCATCTTGATTCTGCTGCAGCAGCTGCTGCTGCTGCTCTGTCATGCTCTCCTTTCTCTTTGAGTGCAGATACATTCTCTTAAATGCTAGAGTTTCTTTCGTTAGTCTGTGCTGCACTAAATACACTCGGCCGTATACACCTTCTCCAAGTAAGCGAAGGCCCTCCCACTCCCTCCATATCTCTTCATCATCCTTTACTAGCACAACTAAAGGTTCTGCTGCTGCTGCTGCTGCTGCTGCAGCTGCTGCAGCGGAGGAGGAGGAGGAGGAGGAGGGACGCATAGAGAGAGGGGCAGCAGGAAGAGCGGCAAAGGGATCTGCTGCACGAGCTACTGCCACAGGAACAGCTTCTCCTGCTGCTGCTGCTGCTGCTCCTGATGCTCCCGCTGCTGCTGCTGCTGCTGCTGCTTCTGCTTCTGCTGTTGCTTCTGGGTCCTCTACATCTTCTTCTTCTTCTTCCTCTTCTGCTGCTGCTGCTGCTGCTGCTGCTGCTGCTGCTGCTGCTGGAGGTGCGAGTCTCCCTTCTGCTGCAGCAGTTATTTCTTCCTCCTTTTTGCAGCCAGCAGCAGCATCAGAGGATCCTGCTGCCTGGGGGCCCCCAGGGGGGCCCCCGCTGGGGGCCCCCTGCTGTCCATACAGTGCGATGTTAATACGAAAAGAGGGGCCCCTACTTACCCCCTGTGCTGCTGCTGCCTGCAGTGGGCGTTTACGTGGTTTCTTTGTGCTTCCTAGAGGAGGAAAAGCACCTTTTGAAGTACCTTCTGCTGCTGTTGCTGCTGCTGTTGCTGCTGCTGCTGCTGCTGCTGCTGTGGAGGCTCCTGGAGCTGTTGATGCACCTGCTGCTAATGCTTCTCCGCCGGACGCTACACCTGCTGCTGCTGCTCCTGCTGTTGTTGTTGTTGCTGCTGCTGCTGTGGTTAATGCTGCTGGAACTTCCTCCGCTGCTGTGCCTGCTGCTGCTGCTGCTGCTGCTGCTGCTCGTGCTGTGGCGCCGTGCTGTTTTCGCTTCACTCGGGTGCCACTTCCTTCCTGCTGCTGCTGTTCTTGCTGCTGCTGCTGCTGCTCCTGCTGCTCCTGCTGCTCCTGCTGCAGCTTCTTGAGACCCACTTCTCGCGTGCGTTCTTCATGCTGGCCCCCTTGTTGTTGCTGCTGCTGCTGCTGCTGCTGCTGTTTGTGTTTCAGTGGCTGCAGCTCTCTATGTTTAGACTTCCTGTTCACGTGCAGATTTTCAACGGGTCTAAGGGGAAGGCGGGCCTCTCTATGGAAGCCCCCGCTGACTTCAGGGGGCCTCTGGGGCCCCCCCTGCTGTACCCTGCTTGCACCAACTTGCTGGGGGGCCCCCTGCAGCGCAGCAGCAGTTGGGGGGCCCCCAGAGGGGCCCCCGGAGTCGGGAGGAAGAGGGGGCCGAGGGCTGCCGCAAGACCCTGATGGGGCCCCATACTGAGAGTTGCTGCTCGGCATCGGCTGCTGCTGCTGCCGTTGCTGGCTGCTGCTGCTGTTGCTGTAGCTGCTGCTGCTGCGGTGCAATGCAATGAAGACACTGTATGGGCAGATATTGTTGCTTCTGCAGGGGCAAAATAGAAATGAAGAAAACCGAGGACTGTTTTGTTGTTTTGCTGCTGCTATGGGGGGCTGTAACCAGCAGAGGAATTTGCTGCAGCGTGTGCTGAGGTGTCTGTACACCTGAAAAGTCAGCTAAGAGGGTCTGTTTGCCCTCAAAAAAGCCACAAATATCCGTCAAAGAGTTAAATTGCACTTATTATTTGAGGTGTATGTACACCTCAACACTGCGAGAAGCAGAGAGGGTCCACTGGTATGCATGTACACCACTGCCTGCCCTGCGCCGTCGCCGACCCAGCATAAACACCTCTCATTTTCATCTATTTTCCTGAAGAAAAGTGTTTTTTTAACATCAATTATAATTTAATTGAATTTAAAGCTTCATTTCAATGCATTTACCTGCAAAAACGAGCAAAAATAAGCCGCAGAACGCCATCACCAACACCCCTCCCCAACCCGGTGGCGGTGCTGCGGTGTCTGTACACCTCAGAAAGTAGAAATTTATTTGCTTCTGTTTGAAATATTTTATATTTACATTTAAATAAATTATTTATTTTATATTTGCAAATATTTCAGCTCAAAAAAGACCCTCCCTATACACCCCACTGCAAACCATCATCCCCGTACCCCCACACAAACGGCGCGCCGCTGGCTGTAGCTCTCTTCTATGAAACCATATAAAAATATTTTTTGTTTGAAGTTTATTTAATGCAGAAAAACAAATTGAAGTTATTATTTAGGTTGAGGAAGACAAAAATAAACAAAACCCTCAACCAAAACTAGGAGAGCAGTCATAGACAAGCACACAAACTTCTCTCCCACACTAAGCTTGCAGCAAACGCACCATCAGCCTCGAGCTGGCTAGCTAGCTAGCTAGCTAGCTAGCTAGGGAGCTGTTCGAATAGGTATAGTGCTCTCCAGCTAGCCGCGCAACTCGGGGTTTGCTTGCTTCCCTGTTTCGCTCGCTAGCTCTTTCGCTAGCTAGCTAAGTAGCTACCCAGCTAGCTAGCTAGCTAGCTAGCTAGCTAGCTGTGGAGACCTCGTCAGTTGTTTAGCCAGTAGCTAGGTAGCTCCTAGCTAGCCAGCCCTCGTCAGTCGTTACTGTAGCAGGTAGCCTAGCTCCCCAGCTAGTCCCCCGCCCGCCAGCTAGCCTTCCTCCTCCCTAGCTAGCCAGCTAGCTACTTAGCCAGTTAGCTAGCTAGCTATCTAGCTAGCGGTGTCCCTCGTCAACCGATACTCTAGCAGGTAGCTTAGCACCCTAGCTAGCCCCCCCGCCCACCGGCCAGCTAGCCATCCATCTTGCTCACCACCTAGCTAGCTAACCACCTAGCTAGCTAGCTAGCTAGCTAGCCAGAGAAGGGGAGACCTTGCTTGGCAGCTGCAACAGTAGCCCAGTAGTAAGCGAAGACAGGGATATTCATAACTAAATTATCAAGAGAGCCCCCGGCTGCTTCTAAGAGTGCACAGCCTGCAGCTAAACCCCAGCGCACTGCTAAACCCTTTGCGCGGAAGGCAGAGATAAATGCGCCGATAAACACCGCTACAGAACCTCCAACCTACACACACAAACAACCTCATAAACCCTAAACCCTAAACCCTAAACCCTAAACCCTAAACCCTAAAATTGCGTGGGAATTCGGCGCTTACACGGCCACAAACGAAGTTTTCAATGCAAAAAAAGAAAAAACTAAACAAACACGAAAACCCTAAACCCTAAACCCTAAACCCTAAACCCTAAACCCTAAACCCTTACGGTTTTTTCTCCAATCCACTTGGGGGTTTTGATTGCTTTGCCTACGAGTGCGCCGAGAGGGTCTGCAATAAAGGCCGGGGCTAAGAAGCCGAAATCCAAGTGAAAGTAAAGAAAAATTAAAACTAACAAATTAAACGATATTATGCCTTTATCCGCGTAACATCCAAATCTGCACACAAACCCTAAACCCTAAACCCTAAACCCTAATTTTACCCTCAAGAAGCTACGGTGTGAAGAGACAGGGACGCAAAAGAAGATAGTGGGGCTTGTAGATGTCGTGAAAGTGAAGTGCTCTAGGGTTTAGGGTTTAGGGTTTAGGGTTTAGTACCTGAAGGGGCGTATAAAGCAGAGTAGAATAGAAGAGAGAGCAACAGCAGCAACAAACCCTCGAACAACTTCATTACTTTCTCTGCCCATCTCTGGCAGCAGCAGCAGCAATATAAAGCCTCCCATAGATAAGTGCACGAGCTTCCTTGCTATAAAAGGCGAGATATTAGAATTAAATTCAAACATAAATAACAACAACCCCACCAGCACAAGCAATGAAAATGTTACACCATCTACCTCCCCTCCTCCTCCTCCCCATGGCCAGTTAATAGGAGGCATCATCAAACCCTAAATCCTAAACCCTAAACCCTAAACCCTAAACCCTAGAGCAAATAATAAAACAGTAATATTATCACTTAAAGAAAACAACGCACACGCACACACAAACGATGCAGCAGTACAGACACCCAATGCCTAGGGTTTCTGCTACGCAATATATATTAATTCTGTTTTAGAAAGCAGAGAAGCAAAGAAAAACCTAAACCCTAAACCCTAAACCCTAAACCCTAACACTAGTATAACACCATGGGAAGAAGTAGACAGCCGCCCGCCCCTTTGAAGCCACTTAATGATTGTTTTAATGTCTTTAATTATTCAAAAACAAATAAAAGATAAATGTTTTAATAGTAGACAAATAATAAAAGAAATTTAAACCTACTGGGCCCCACACATACCCTCACCTCTTGGGGGGCCCCGGGTGTACGTACAGCTGAAGCTGCTGCTGCATTGTGCAGTTCTTTCTGCTTTTTAATTTATTTCTTTATTTATTATCATTATTATTTAATTTAAATATATTTATTTTAATTAAAAACAACGAAATATTCACGCAGACGACTGCTACAAAGGGCCCCCCCTAATATGCTCTTCTTATTCCTGGTGTATAGGCACCTCTTACTTTGCTCTAACTCAGCAACCAAACAACTCCAGTGTACAGACAGCAAAATATATATCATTTACCTAATGATAAGCGCCTATCTACTCTCCAGCTAGCTCCTCCTGGACAAGGCAGCTCTGTGTAGCTAGCTAACTAGTTGTTTAACTAGCTACCAAGCCAGCTAACTAGCTAGCTAGCTAGCTAGCTAGACAGACAGATAGATAGATATAGATAGAAAGGTATGTGGAGTGTTGGCCTGGGGTGTATAGACACCCCGCCGGGGCCCGACATTTTACCGAAATAATAGTGGCGGACATTTAATGCATAGTATTATATATAATCATGCAGACATATATATATATACATATACTAGAATGCATTGAAATATATATATATATATATATATTATGGTGGCGGAGCATACATATCCTTGAATTTGTCTTAATGCAGATATACATATATATATATATATATATA